GATGATTTTTTTTTCTATATTGTAATTACTTTGTAAATTGAAGGGAACACTTAGTGTGAAACTGTTTGGCAGCACGAGTGTCTTTCACCAACTAATGACATAGGTATAGATACACTAAGACCTTCCTATGAAAATGCATTGTTTAAATTAGTAGATTTTCAGGAGAGAAAAAATACTCTCATGAATCATATCTGAATGATTTCAATAACTTGGGGTGGGTTTTTTTTTGATAGTGTCTTGACAACAGTTTTAAATCAATTTAGAAAAATGTGTAATTGATTATATCAAAATATCACTTTGCAGTCCATTCAAGAGGCTCTTATGAATGTGTCAGGTCATGAGAATTTTATAGTTGCATAATATGTATCATCATTTGATTTTTATTATCCCCCTTGCTCTGGTTTTGGTCAACCTATAGTGCCTCTTTTACATGTTCCTGGGTCCACTTTTTGCTTTACTTGTACGAAACCGCTGGTGTGTTATATTGTTAACCACAAAATCTAGCTTGGCTCGTCATGCTTGAACGGCAACCATAACATGGCTTACTGAAAAATGTGGTTGTTAATAGAAAATTACTGGCTGCCACTTAGAATTATGGGGCTACCCTTCTGCAATTATGGCAAACAGCTGTCACGCATGTTCTTGCAATTTAGGCCCATTTTATACCAGCATACATTTTGTAAGCTAAACAAGTTAAGCACTTGCTTAAACGTGCATCCTGTCCCACAATCAGCACACACCTCAACGTGAAAGTATATCAATCAAAAATTCATTAGAATGGATGTCGTAGTTAGAGCACAAAAGTACTGTTGATGCAACAACTTTTACTGTGAACCACTGCGAAACATTTCGAATGTATTCTTGGCTCTCGATTTTCTGCGGGCTTTGTATGCTTGGTAGAGACTTCGTATTTATGTTGAGCTGGCAGTACTATTTGTATTTGTGTGTGTGTGCTTGAGCACAGTTGCCCTGAACCCTAGGCTGACGAGCTGGAGCAAATGTAGGAGGTTGTTCTCAATAAGTGAGGTGGAAGCATTTAAGGTCAAGCTCTACAAGGATTCAGTGTCAGAGCGTTTGCCAAGCTCAGTTTGGTTTCTCATGCCCTGTTCTCATTCTTGTTGTCTTGAAGTATTTTTTTAAATTTTGTTGTTGTTGTTGTATTTCTTACCTTGTCTACTGTAGATCTGTTTTATTTTGCTCTGAAATCAGTCCATTCTTCTCCTGTAGGCAGCCTTAGCTTCTCTGATGCCTCTCTTTTGATTAGCTCGGGCAACACTATACACTGTGCCCCATCACAAGATCTGAAAACATTATTGCACTCCCTGAGCAGGCACAGCATTTTCTTTTGTCATCCAAGGCTGCACTTGTACACAGTGACCCTGTCTTTGCAGTACTTGTATTCCATAACAGCTGTAATGTACTGCTTCAGGTCCTAGGGTCTCATATACTAACGTTGTATAGACATAAAAAAGTTGCCTATGTCCTTTTCCACGCTCATATACAATCTCTTGTTACAAAAAAACCAGTACAGTCCCCAAAAAATAAAAAAAAAACACCCCCAAAAAAAAAAAAAAAAAAAAAATTTTCAGGCCCAAGGACCCTAACCCTTGGCCTGGATCTTTTTCTTGCCCCCTGGTCTAGGGTACTTGTGTCTCTGGTTAGAAGTCCCCCTCCTAGACCAAGGCACATCAACAGTCACAGCAACAGAGTCCCTTATACTAAAAACCAATAATCCAGGAACTGCTAGTCAGTCCCAGGAACTGCCCAGGGAACGACGTCCTTATGAAACACTGGAGGAGTTACCGATGCCGCCACCTCCGGAATCACTGCGGATAGGTGAGACATGTGACTGAAGCATGTATCTTAAGAAGCATTACCTGTGAGAAAAAGACAGATGCAGCGGAGACAATCCCTTAATTCTATTCAAACTATAACATCGTTCAGAATATTTATCCGAAAATTAATGTTGTTCTTAGATTATTAATACATTTGATAAAGTTAAAGGTTTGGTACCCCTTGCTGTACCAAAATTGTATTTTAAGGGAATTACCATACACTAGGGATGTCTGATATTTTTTATAACTTTTTGCCAATATCCGATATGCCGATATTGTCCAAACACTTAAAGCAGTGTTTATCAACTATTTTCTGCCTTCTCTAGGGGGAAAGAATTAAACACTTAAAGCAGTGTTTATCAACTATGTTCTGCCTTCTCTAGGGGACAGAATGAACATACTATTAAGTGCCTAGCAATATTTATTTATTTATCTGTACAAACCACTGTAAGAGTTGCTGGCACCAGCATTCTCCATACATTCCCGATTACCAATATAGATTAATAAAATAAGCTACAATGCTGCCATCTAGTGACTGGAGGCTTGTTAATCGTTCATAATGTTCTGTGTTCATGTGTTATGAAGGAGTTAACAGTTGTGGGTATGGGAGGGGAGTAAGGAGTTTAAATAAGCTAGTCTAGGGTTCCCTGCCCAAAAGTAAACTTGTTTGTCCCATGCTGCCCAGGTCTATCAGCTCCTATAATTAGCTCCTGTAGTAGCTTTTATAGTGTATATGTAGTATTTCTTTTTATCTCTTTTTTGCCCTCCTATCACTTTTTCGCACTCTGACGGCCTCCATCTTTTCATCTGTTTGGGGATCTAATCATCTAATTGAAACTCATACATATATTTTTTTTTTGTGTACAGGACAGCACATTGCTACAGCTAAAAGTATGAAAAGGATATGCTTATTGTTTACACACAATATAAATATACATTACATTTAGAGACACTGAAATGGTATTTTTTTTGCTTTCTATACAGTAACGTACATATTTAATCTACGGGAGGCCTGTGTCAGACAGAGCATGAAAACTGTGGACGATCACTAAGGCAAACCTTGACACAGATTTTTTTTTATCTATGAATTTGTATCCTGATTATAAAAGGGTTGTCAAACTCATTTTCACCACGGGGCTACATCAGTAATACAGTTGCACTTGTAGTAAGAATCCAAATTACAACTTTTGTTCATTGCTTTGCAATAGAAAAAAAACCTAAATCTTTTTAATCTCCCGTGAGTCATACAAAACGACATAGTGGGCCACATTTGGCCCCCTGGTCTTGAGTTTGAGTTACAAGATAATACTTCTGTGTAATGGCGTTACATCCTAAATCCTCCTTATTGGCATAGCTGTGTAGGATTGTATCACTGATTATTTACTAATTGATTTTTTATGGAAAAAGCCACATGACACCATAGGCATTTTTACAGTAGAAGACATCACATGACACAAGCCTTTTCAGCCTTATCTTGGTTTGCTTCTTGCTCCAAGTTCCATGTAATTGATTTTGTATAAGAGAACCATAAGAGATTAAACAAAACCTGAGTAGAATTCTCATGTAGACCAAGATGCAGTAGGTAAAAACAACAACATTCCTTGAATAAAATTGAATAACAAGCCACTCCCCATTAACTGTTAGCTTATTTTCTAAACATTTAATAAAACAGCTCTTGTGATAGGAAATTTGTGAAAGGTAGAGAAACCTCTATTAAACATATCTATTAAATAATGAACAAATCGGGAATGGAAGATGACCAGATAGACTCTATCTGGTCATCTTCCATTCTGATTTGTTCATTCATTTCACTTCACTGAGTCAAAAAAAAAAAAAAAACAATCAGACAGGTATTTGCCACAGATTTGCAGCATGAAAGTCATATGTCAAACAGGAGATACTCTGCAGAAAATCCATTATGTCACGCAATAACAGTGGAGTCAAAGAGGTCATGTGCAAACAAGGGACAAACCTCAGCTGTCCCTCCTCGTTCACATTTCACAGCCACGGTTCACATGCTCACTACACAAAAATCCGTTGCAGCAGCACACAAAATGAACCACAGTTTACACAGTACTGAATGATTTCATTTACATTACTGCCCAAAAAGACAGCAATTGAGCAAATCAAGATGGTAATTCAACTTAAGTTAAAAGTTTAAACTAATTTCATTTACATTACTGCCCAAAAAGAACATAAATGACAGCGATTGAGTAAATCAAGATGGCAATTCAACTTAAGTTAAAAGTTTAAATTCATATTTTCTTTTAAGTGTGTTTTAGTTTAATTAAAAATAATCCTTGTCCCTGTTTAGACTGTATTGGATCAAGTTAAACAAAACGAAAACAGCACTGCACAAAATAGGGTAATATAAACTTAAGCTCCGCCTAGTAACTGTCACAGCGGGACGCTTCATTGGGATCGCCCCTCCACTGTGACAAGGCACTTGGCTTATAATCTTCGTATCGTGGGTGTGATCACGCTTTTTTTTTTTCAGTTTTAGTCGATGAGGTTTTCCCAAGACAAACAGACAGATCACAGACAAGAAAGAGGAATTATATTTCTCAAATGGCGGAGGAACTATTATTGGACAATAATGGAAAGATCACAGGGGTATGTTTTATTTATTCAATACTGACTATAACTTAACTTCATTCAACAGTATGTGAAGTGTTTCTCTTCACATTTTTTTTAAAAACATAGACTTTAGTAATTGCTTGACCTTTTCACACTTGTGATTTTAATATAAACAATTACAAAACAACAACGTGTGTACCGATAGCTGTGTAGCATTGTGTTCCGCAAACTAATTTAAGTGATTATAATAATAGTTTTCAGACTTGTGTTCCGCAAACTAATTTAAGTGATAATAATAATAATTTTATTATTTATCTATTATTTATTTCTCTTCTTTTTCTCTCTTCCACTTTCTCTTAGCATCTTACCAAATCACTTCTGGCGGTCGCGTTTTTGTCCTCATTCGGCAGCTCTATGCTCTATGGCTACAATTTGGCAGTGGTCAACTCTCCTTCACAGGTACGGACTGGGTGTGTGACTGAATTATTGTGATGAGAAATGCTGTTGCTAGCACCAAGATCTTGATAAGAAAGGTTTTCAAGACTCACAAAATCTGTCCACATTTTATGCACGTCACCAACTGTTTTCAAACTTTAAGGGCTATGGCAAAAAATACTTTACAGGTTCTTTCACGCAGATATTGAAATGCCCTTTTGACTGACTATGTTCGATAACTTTATTTACTGAATTTTAAAGCAGAGGCTATCTCATTGTCACGTGTAGTCATGTGGTTGCGTCCATCAGATGTAGAGCCTGACGTGCATCCCACCATGTCATTGATGTTCTGTAGATTTAACCGATGATATACTCTGTTCTTTTTCCTGGAAGCCTGCTTTTGTCCAGTGATATGACTAGGCTCAGAACATTTTTCTATTTTATGATGGATGACTGAAGTGTTAGATCATGCAAAGTCTAATGCTGTTTTATGCATTTTGTGAGGCGAGAATCTGCTGCCATCACTAATGGATATAGAAAGCCACAGAAAAGTAACATGATTACAAGACTCCCTGTAAAAGCTATTGTCAAATGTTTGAACCTGAAATTGGATTATGGCTCTATTGCAGTGTAGGTTAGCAAAAGGTATTTAAAAGATCTGTGATAATGACCCTAATGTTGTAATATTCTTCTATAAAAGGAATAACAAATCTATTTTTTAATTTCAATTTAAAAAGCAGGATTTAGTTACATTAACTAATAAAGTAGTTTTGGCAAAAAGTTTTAGAATTTCTTCATTTTGTTCCTGTTAAAATCATGTTATAAGAGTTTCAGTCAGTGATGAAAACTGTTCAAGTGTAGACAGATAAATTCGATAATTTTCTCCTCCTGCTTTAATACTACAAACGTGAGTTTGTTAAGAACAGCTACAACGAGAGAGGACTTCACTGTGGATTTAGAGAAATATACCACAGGTGTTGCTGCCTATATTAGCATGAGAGCGCTATTCCCAACAAGTACTGAAGGACCAGTCCCAATGATAAACCCTAAGAAAATAGAAAAGTGCGGTCTATGGTATAGATCACTTCATTGAGTACACCTTAGGATATGCAACTGTGTATTATACTATGAATATATTCATTTGATAAGTAGGTTTCACCCTTTAAAAATACCGATCTTTATACGGGCATACAAATCTGTCAGATGTGTATACGGGTGTACAAATCCGATGGGGCTATACAAATTTGACAAAAAGAACACCGGCACTAGACATGCCTATCTCTGTGTCAATGGCAGAGGACATGCCCATATAAAACATTGGGTCCGAATGACATAACCAGGCGTGCCCTGAGGGTCTACTCATCAGAGCTAGTGGACATGTTCATGGACAAATTCCCCCTAGGCACTCCACCATAGTATCATGAGAATCAAAATGACCCTGTACAGTGCGTTTTGTATGAAAACCTGTATCATGAGAATCAAAATGACCCTGTAAATCGTCAATGGAATTAATCAATAACAGTGCGCTTTGTATGAAAACCCACGCTTCCAGTATTGAGTTGAGAAGAGAGTTTGCAACCCTACGTGCATCGATCGCGTATTTTTTTGTGCAACACATTTTTAACTCACTATCACCTGCAAACGCACACCTGAGCACTCGTTTAAAGACACCCATAAAGCGCCAGAGGTTCCAGCCCCCCCTCACCCCCCCCCATTTCCCTCAGAGAGCAGGGGGAGTGCGTTGCACTAAGACAATGGAAAGAAAGATTTTACAATGCATCAGGTGGTCGGAACAAAGGTATTTTATCCGGAACTAACCAGCTTACCCTGCAATTCTCCGCACAGGCAATCGCCATGACATGCTGGATCAATCCACCAGTCAGCTGTTTGGGTGACATGCAGATTTCATGCCATGCCATAAAGGCTTAAAAATGTAGATGTAGATCAAATGTATTGTTACATCCCTATTACTTAGTGGTGTCACATGATGTTGAAGCCCCTGCAAAAGCATGCGGGACAATGAGATGGTATGGTCAGATCAAGGTACTTGGTGAAAAAGAAAAACTTTTTTTCCTAAAATGGATCCAAGTGGATTGTTGTGGAATGATTCGATATAAAGTGAGCTTTTTTTTTTTAAAATTAAATGTATTATTGCAAATTTAGAAAATCAAATTTTGACAGCAGTTGTTAAAGTACACCAAGTCACCAAGTCGCTCCGGAGCATAGATCAGAAAGACCAGCCACCTTGAATGCCCTCTAGCTGCTGTCAGTGTGAAAATAATCAACATGTGAAATTATATTTTTAAATATATAGGTCGCACCTGAGTATAAGTCGCAAACCCAGCCAAAGGATGGATTATACTGCAGGGGCAATACATGGATACAAAAAAAAGCCCCATCTACAGAAGCGGTGCTTCACTGAGAAACAATAGGCAATTATGCGAACTTGCCGGCTGGGATTCTGTACAGAAATGAAGCCGCTGATTGGCTGTCACCATTGCCCAAGCCATTCTTTCAACATAGAAGAGTGTTTGAACATTTAGGCAATGACAACCCCCGAACCTACATCCTACTTCTCCAATGGTGAATTGTTGGAATTATCAATATGTCCTTAAGCTCCTGATGGGAAAAAAGAGCCTTGGGACATGGATAAACAAAGGAATAGACTTCTATCATTTTCCAGCATGGAAGTAAAACAGCTCAGTACATGTCTCAGAACTCACAAAGAGGCCAATCTAAGGTCATACCCATCGCCCTGACGTGTCGTGTTGTTTAGAAAAGTTTTGGGATATTGAGGTGATTCTCTGCTGAACTGTTTCGAACCTTGGCGATGTCTGCCAAAATGTTGACTCAGCTCTTCATGAAAAAAATGTGGGGGTCTGTGAGGGATTAGTGAGGGTCTTTTTGTCTGTTGACAAGGCTAATAGCAGATGGGAAGAAGCTGTGTTTGTGGCGAGAGGTTTTGGTCCGGGAGGACAACAACCTCCTGCCAGAGAGGAGCACTTTAAAGAGTTTGTGACTGGGGTGAGAGGGGTCAGTTGCAATCTTTTAGCGCGCTTTAGGGTTCTGGAGGTGTACTTACAGTATATACTAGGTGCTTGATGCTTGAATGATGGTTTCCTTTTACTTTTTTGATGATCACAAAGCAAAATAAAACAACTTCGAAACAACACAAATAAATTAAACCACCACTGGTCCTCACTGTATCCATCCATCTATCCATCCATTTTCATCCGCTTATCCGTTACCGCAGCAGTCGCCACCCAAATCACATTGCACCGTACCAAGCCCCCCAAACCTTCCTGCAGGTGGTGAGTCCACTGGAAGGTACCAACCACCCTAACTGGAATTCGAACTTGCCCAGGAGGTGAACCCTGGGGTTCCACACCAATGACAGAGACATTGCCTCTGGGCCAAAGCGCCACTCCTCACTGTATGATTATCATTAAATAATTGTTTTTGCACAACAAAGGTGTTTAGTCTACCAAGAATTACAACTTGCCTTTCCCATGTCATGGTACATACGGTATATTAAGAGGACTATAAGTATGACTTTCATCTTGAAAAACTTAAGATATACTCATACAGTCAGTGTAATGTAAAAAAATGAGTGTAAATCTAATTCTGTTGTGCTTAATCCTCATACAGTCAGTGTAATGTAAAAAAAACCGAGTGTAAATCTAATTCTGTTATGCTTAATCTTCAAATTAATATATATATATATATTTGTTTTAATCTAGTACATTAAGAGCTTCTTCAATGAGTCTATCGTGGAGAATTATCACTGGATCCCAGATGAAGAGCTGTTGACCGTCTTATACTCCCTCACTGTGTCAGTCTTTGCTATTGGCGGAATGACGGGGGCCCTACTGGTGGGCAGACTCGTTACCAAATATGGAAGGTTGGTTTGTGTGTCTGTGTGTCTGTGTATTTATGTATGTTTGTAAGTGTGTTTTGGCGTGCAAGGGTTGCATTTGTTTTGTATTTATGCATTTGTGTTCCCAAAATGTTATCCTCGTGCACTTTAACAGTTTGTGAATTTGCATGTTATGTAAGCTTTTCAGATGATCATTGTGTGCATGTGTCCACACAGGAGAGGGACAGTGGTGCGATCTAGTCTGTTGGTGTTCATAGGAGGAGCTTTAATGGGCTTTAGCAGAGCATGCAGGATGCCTTCGATGGTCATCTTTGGACGCTTCATCACAGGAGTACACTCAGGTAGGCCTGACTCAAGCATCCGGTTCATTCTCAATAAAAAACAGACGAGTATATCACAAACTAGTTATACTTTTTACTTCTTTATTAAGTTAAAAAAACTACTTTTTTCTCTCCTTTTCTACTTGTACAAAAAGCAAGTGTTGACCAAAGAACACAACCAGTAGTAGGATATTGTGATGAGGTCTTTGTAATCTACATTTAAGATAAGTTTATGATTTATTGGAGGAAATCCGGATAAGCGGTTGAAGATGGATGGATGGATGGATGGATGGAGGAAATCCTAAACAGGCCATGTTTGACAACACATTATAAACATTATTAAAGCCTATTCTCCATATGGATATTAAATTGTTTGAAAAAGTTTGAGACATTGTCATTTGTTCCTATTTCTCACAACTTGAGAAGAGTCACAATTTGTTTAAATAAATGTCATAAAGTGTAGAAATTGGAGGCGCACTAATTGCAAACTTATTGGAAGTATGAGTTGGCGAAAACCACTTTTTTCGGATTTCTTTCTGAATTGACAAAAGTCTTAAAGATGTTCTCCCTTTAGTTCAGCA